CGGGAAATCCTCCAACATACCTCAAAACAAGTTGAATTTAGCTTAAAGATTTTGTCAGAGGTCACATTGAGGAAATTTGAGCATGCTTAATATACGACAATAAGTTGGTGAACATAGTACACATTATACCTGCCAAACATCAACATGTCAGTGTTGAGCATGTTAGCATTTAGCTCAAAGTCTTGCTGTGCCACAGATAGTAAAGGCCCACAGAGCTGCAGGGTGCTTAGTCTTGTTCCATTAAGTTTTATTTTGCTTATGGTGATGGAGCTTTTCAATATTTTGCGATGCAAACAGGTTTACAGGCATAAAGAGAAGGAAATCCACGCAGAAGTCATTGTGGGCTGTTTACAGGACCCATATCAAACGAGGAATATTTTCATCTTCGGATCAATAGTTGAAAATGAGTTTACATTTAAATGTAGTCAATGTTTCAGTGTATTCTGTAGACAACACTATCATTAATCTACCTTGTACGGCAGTAATCTTCTTTAATCTGATTGTTTTCATCAGCCTACCTTGTACTTCAGGAACCTGGGAAAGATTTTGGCAACATAACACTGCCAGCAATCCTCGAGGACCAGCTTTAATCTTGCTATAAGCCACTGTTGAGCACCGTCACCAGAGTTGGTTAAACATGCATGGATTACTTTCCGAAAGTATTTATTTACCCTGCTTCCTTTCCTTTCCTGTCGGTATCAACATATGAGCCTTTGTGGAGGAAACTTGTCTTTTTAGTGGCACATTCTGTTGCTGTCAATATCATATCCCTCACTTGAGTTTTTTTGGCGGCTAAATTCTGCACTCTTTTCTAATCTTTCCCCCATCTCTACTTTGTCTTTCCGATACGTGCGACAAGTTGCTGTTAGAAAGAAAGACATCACAGTGTGTGTGTGTGTGTGTTTGTTTCTTTGTGAGTGTGTTTGTGCATGCGTGTGTGTGTGTGTGTGTGTGTGTGTGATCATTATGTCGTGATCTGAAGCCATCTGGGTTGGCTGGCTCATTTGCATATCTGGTGTTAACCATTATAAATATTCATGACCAGGGTCTAAACTGGTATGAATATTCATTTTGCCTGCAGGCCGTAGACGGGTGGAGTGGCTGTGATTCCAATCAGCGGAACAGAAATTAACTCAACCTTTTGTGTGGTGGACGAGAACACTTGATGATTGCCGTGGGCCCCTCGGTACGCTTGGTGAGCTCCATATGTACGTGGATTATTACATTTGCTTTAGTCATATGGTGGCCATATTTGATGTACATCGTATTTGGGAAAACGGAGCCCGCAAGACAGAGAGGCAGATGGAAACAGAAACAAACTCAACTTGTCTTGGGACAGAAACATTTAAAGACACTGAAATTACTCTGTGAAGTGAGGGAGACGCTGCAGGGCAAACTATCCACCAAAGTCCAATTCAGAAGCAGCAGCAGCAGGATTAAAAGGCACAAAGATGGCACTGAGCCATTGTATGAGCAAACGTGTGACACTGTCAAACTAACTAGGCTGAATTCTTAATTTGTTTGTTCACACCACTGATTGCTTGTTTGACAGTTGCTCAAGCTTCTATTAGTTCATCTGAACTGTCACTGTAGCTGCAAGCTACTGCGTAAATTAACCAAATAAAATAAACTGAAAAGAAAAGAAAGATAAGAAATATATTTAACATTAACACAGAGACATTCACAGTTGCCGTCATGTTTCATTCCTCTTGTTGTGGCCTGTGATTTGGACCTTGACCAGCTCTGCCTATCATGGCAATATCAAAGGGAAATTTGAAACTATGTTTAACTTTTTTTCATTTTTATCCAATGTGGCTGGTTCTGTCTTTGAAGTGTTGACTCTGTTCTGTCACGACTTTGGATCGGTTGCCTTTGTGTTTGCCTTTGGTGAAATGACAAACAGGATGATTATGATGATAACGTGTGTGAAAATAGCCACAAGAGAACGAATGCTGTCTGGAAAGAAATCACTCAGACATATCATCATTGATTAGTAATAAAGTATGTGGCTTTTGAAATCACCCCTCGAAATATCCCTTTGAAGCCTGAACCCAGGCCCTGAGGTATAGTAACCGCGGGCCCCAGGAGGCCCAGTACTCCCATAGGACCCCATCTTTAGCAATGCAAAATAATGCAAAGAGACATCGCTCCTGTGTGAATTATATTAAAGTGAAATAGATCTTCACATAAAAGACAAATTTCATCAAAGGGAAGGAATCCTGGCTGGAGCTGAGGTGAGACAAGCTAACAGCCACCGCGGCTGACTCTGATAGGCTGACGCAATCAAGCAACCACACTCCTCCACATATTAGACGTTTCCTGATTTACATCAGGTAAAACTGAATGTTTGATACAGTTTATGGTCATGCTGCCATAACCGTAACAGGCATGTACACTAGTTACCTTTCTAGATGTTATAGTAGGAGTAGTATATGCATTGTGAGTGGTGGAGGTTTCAAGTGGCACGTGCATAAGGGATTCACAGGAAACAGCACGCGTTCTGGACTTAAGAGCCAGCGCTTGCAAAACATATTTGCATTGGTTCAAGACAGCTATATTGATTTATAAAGAGGATATCACATTTTCATCATGTGATTCTAAACAGATACACAAGTTGCTCATCTTCCTCTGTATTTCTGTATCCAAGACACACAGTGTAGGGCAATAACGTCACTACTGAAATAAATAATGAATTCAGTACGAGAAATAAACATCTTCAGTTGATGCCTTGAAAATAAAGGTGTGTGTGTGTGTGTGTGTGTGTGTGTGTGTGGGGGGGGTACATCAGTATTCAGGAGAGAGGGATTAGGAAGTGCCAAACTATTATGATCTGTCATCTCCAATAATACACACTCATACACACAGCATTGTTTTCCATCGTTGTGGCGAATACTGATAAAATGGTAATTTAAGACGGTCTCTCACAGACACACACATTTACTCAGATACACCACATACTGAGATATGCACTACAGAATGCAAAATAGTGAAACTCACACTTTTGCGTGTTTTCACGCTTCCACTTCTTTGGATCACTCCTGATTTTTCTCTCTTGTCTGACAGAGACGTCTCTACGCTAAGAACCAAAAAAAAAAAATCGATGCAGGAACAAGTGATTGTTTTCGGAAACATGGCGTGACTATGGCGGTTGCCTTGTGTCTCTGTTTGTGTGTGTAGGTGCACACGTGTCTGAGCAGAGGAATCTAGAATGAGTTTAACTCACAAATGCTGCACACACATGCACACAATCCCAAGTGCTTTTAAAGAAAACACTAGGGGGGAGAACAAAGAGCCTCCTTGAAGAATAGACATGAATTATTCACTCCATCAGATAAGAGGACGGAGAGGGAATGAGAGAGAGAGACCTGGGGAAAGTAATGGAGAGAGAGAGAGATGGAGATGGAGCGTGGGTGACTCAAAGAAAGAGACAGACAGATGGATTGACAAGGACAGTTAGGGTATTATATTGTATTAGCAGTAACAATGACAGAGACATTGAGATGGTCCCCAAGAGATTTAAGATAAAAGGACGCAGCTTGCAATCATCTAAACCATGTCTAAAAATCCACAGGGTGTAACAATATTAAATAGACTCAAATAAATAAATAAAGCAGCTCCCTCCGCGTCTAAACACATGGCACTACTTATCTGTAGAAAGCCAGATGCTTTGGAAATTAGGGTCTTTTTTTGACTCAAGGGGTGTTTTTGCTACCTGAAGACAAGAGTTTATCCTGTGAAAATCCACAGCCAGCAGCAGTTAAGCTGCGGCATCTGTGCTGCTTTCCACCCAGATACGCTTTATCAGATCCAAACACAGTTCCACCTTTTATTCTACTCATAATGCAGTGATGCTGTATACTTCAGTAACAGCATGCAACCCAGATGCTTTATCCAATATGAGGAAACTAGTAACCAGTGACTACGGCGCTTCATCAGCTGCAAACAACTGTGGTGATCTGTGCTGTGCTGCTGCAGCGATTCTGTAGTGGCAGGAAGTAACTGATTACATTTAGTAACAAGGTCTTGTTATCAGTTTCAACACATGCTAAATAAAGATGTGACATGTGGGTTTGGAGGCTAGCTGGGCTGCTTAGCTGAAATGCTATTGCTATTGAGTAGTTAGTACAGTAATCGTGTCAATAAGTGATATAAGAGGAATTGATTACACTGATGCTGATCTGTAAACTGTCCCTTTTTGGAGACAGTTTTGATTGTGTAGTAGGGCTGCAACTAACGATTCTTTTCATTATCGATCAGTCTGTCCATCATTTTCTTGATTAATCGATTAGATGTTTGGTCCATAAAATGTCAGAAAATTGTGAAAAGACTGTGTTTCCGAAAGTCCAAGGTGACGTCCTCAGATTTCTTGTTTTGTCCACAACCCAAATATATTCAGTTTACTGTCACAGAGGCCTAAAGAAACCAGAAAATATACACATTTGACGGTGAATCAATAGTTGGTGATTCATTTTATGGTGGACCAGTACTTGATTAATCGACTTATCGTTGTTTTTGTTTTTGTTTTGCTTTACCTTGCCTTCATTACTTGTCCTGTTCATGTTGCCACTTTATTCAGGTAAACATGGGGTGTTTTACCCAGGATGTGGAAGGTTTTAGAGAAGAAATAATAGTCACGTAGTCTTGTATTACTGTAGCAAATTACCAGGAGGGAGACCGAGAAAAACGAATGAGATAAAAGAGATTAGAGGACAAACAATTGCAGGAAAAACTTTGCTATCTTATCCTTTATTCAGTCGCAAAGATAAGAAGGAGAGGCTGTAACAAGGGCCGAAAAAGGAAGGGAAACAAAATACTGGAGTGATTGCAGAGCCAGATTGAATTTCATCATTTATTCAATAGTCCGGGAGAATGGCAGAGAGAGAGAGGGAGAGAGAGAGAGAGAGAGAGTGAAAGGGCCTGAGAGGCTTTAAAAGACCCTGTAATAAGTTTATGATCAGGTTTCCTAATCTTCTTTCTCCATTTCATCCCTCAACCATCAGCTCCACAGCTGGCAGCCAATCACTTGGGGAGGCGGGCCCTACAGTACTACAATGAGGTAATTTTTATTCACTTGTGGTGTCATTTCTGTCCCTAGTTACATTTAACCTAATTCTCATTTGGGGGGAGACACAAAGCGGCTAACTTACGAAGTGTGGCATCAAGTAACAGAAAGAGCTTCACTGATGAGAGTTCAGAGGACTAGGTATCAGCTCGGTCCCTGGTCAGAACCATAAATGGCTCCAGTCTGAGGACTAAGGGTGACTGTTCCTATTCTGTTAGTACCACACTTTGTAGTCTCACTCAATGTCCAGCCCACGGCATGATCTGATTGGTTGCATGTCACAAGTAATAGCATCAACACTGAAAGCTGCTGTGCCACAGACAGGCTGGGACTGGAGTTGGTCCTGTGTGTTGAGGGGAAGCCAGCAGATATTTCTGAAGTTGCAATCAACATCCCAGTCTTCCCAGTTACACCAATGAAAATGCCAGCGGTCACAGCCAATCAGTCACTCTTCCAATCATTGCACTTCAGAGTAAACCACAGCACCCATCTGTCTTGTCAATCACTGAATTCACTGAAACTCTGCATTAAGTTTAGATAATTACTTCATAAAGTAAGTGTATGGTTAAATCTGGTCTGTGGTTCACATGGGTGCCGAACCACAGAGGTTGGGCCGAATGGAACGGGGCCCACTAGATCATATGGCTTCTTCCATGGTGTCTGGAAGATGTGACATGCTGCTTGCTCCGTTGAAGAAAGCAATTTTTTTCTGTAATAACTTTGTTAACTGCAGGGAATAAATTACAGTCATTAAAACAGAACTGTAGTTAATTTTTAAAGCTTGGTGAGCAAAGTCTAACCTAACAACTTTCTGCATTGTTATTTCAGAATAAAGTATTGTGTACTGACATATAATATTGTAATTGCATGGTCATTATGAGCTTATTGTAGTCTTACTGCATTCTCAATAGAAAAAATGCAATTAGGGAGCCGTAGAACTTAAATATTACTCAAGCAACAGTTAAATAACTGACTATATGTCAGTGCCACATGCATGCGACGGGACTGAACAGTGTGGATATACTTAACCATGCAACTCTGATTTGTTTCACTTTTCTTTAGCTACAATACAATACTTTCACACCTTTGAGATGCCAGGTCCAAACACATGGTTCTTTTTTCCCAACCTGAAGCCAGTATTGTTTTCCCCTTGTACTTGTGTCTGCTCGGTGATTTGGAGGCTACAAATGAACGCGATTATGGTGAAATGGTTGAAGTGGTGCAGCTTCAACGACTATGTTTCTGACACAGCTCACAGATATTTTTGTTATCTGTTAAGCTGCAAATTATTTTCTCGAATTAATAAGTTAATCGTTTTAGCGAAAAATGTCACAGTTATCACGGTTTACTAAAGCCCAATGAGATGTCAATAATTGGCTGTTTTGTCGGAACCAAACCCAATGAATGTCAGATTGCAGTCGCAATGAATCTCAGCTGATTTCAGCTCTAATTATTTTTAGATCAGGTGGCACAGTTCAATATTGTTACATTTGGAAAAAATCCCCAGCATTTTCAGCTTAGAGTCCACCACCTGCTACTGCAAGCAAAAGTAACTCATGTTCAACACATGTCATGCATGCTACGCTAATTGTTACACAGATAGAAGCAAAACCAATGGCTTACACTGTAATAAAAACAAAAAAACTTCTAATATAGCTGAATGTTCTTATTGGATTTTATTAACTTTATTATTAACACCACATTAGTTATCCATGAGAAAAAAGATGAATTATTAGAATGTCATGGTGTTTGACATTTATTTGAACAATAAATCAGACAAGATTACAAAAAAATACAAAACATACAGGAATCCTAAAACCTGTATTGGCTGAAGTGAACGTCACTTTCATTATCTATATGTCTGATGTCCTTTTTCAAGTAGCTGATTGGATAAGATGGTGATTATTCGCCCCAACATGTGGCCATTTGTTTCAGCTGGAGCCCAGGGTGACACAGGAAAGGTCCTGACTGAATAATGTGACTGCGTTTCTAATTTGTCTCCAAACCTGCGGGGAAGCCAGCTACTTGTTATCTGTTAGCAGCTGTTCCATTCAGAATGACAAGGACCCAGCACAACACAGCCTAAACACCTGGTCACCTACACACACACACACACACACACACACACACACACACACACACACACACACACACACACACACACACACACTGGGCCAGGCTACCAGATGCTGCCCAGACAAGGTAATTGAGAGGAGGAATGGATGGACAAAAGGAGAGAGAACAACAAGGGGAAAATAGGGAAGGTGTGAAAGAGAGAAAAAGGGTGCTTGTTAGGAGGAGGGAGGTGCGAATGTGAAGAAGGGAGGGAACACAAGAAAGCCATATTAGAAAAGTGTGAAAGGAAGAAAGAAGGGTTGGAGCGACAGAGGAGAGGAAGCGGATGTAGGAGGTGGAGGAGGAGGAGGAGGAGCTGCAGAGGAGAGGTCAAATTAGAAACTGTAACAGCGTGCATCACACCACATCACTCAGGAGGAAGACGAGGAGACAAACAGGGACACAGGGAGGGGAGAAGAAGAGAAAGGACAATTAGAGGGAAGACGGAGAAGGGGGGGGGATCAGAAACCTGTAAGATGAAATTTAGATCATGACAAAAAATAGGAGACAAAAAGAGTTTGACACTTTGGGAACTACGGTTATTTAACATTCTTGCAAAGAATTAAATGAGAAGATTAAGACCACTGTCATGTCTGTCCACTCAGCATGTAGCAACCAGCAAGAGATTCAGCCTGATAATCATATTGAACCGCCATTATGCTACGATTCATTCACTTTTCTGTCCCGGTTTTTCATGAATGTACCCAGGTAGCTCGCTAGCGATGCAGGAAAATGGCGTCCCCTCATCCGTCATTCTGCTTACTATGCTCTGATTGGTCAAATATTTGGTCAACTAGCAGAAACAGCTGTCAGGGAGCGCAACATCAGATTGATTTGAATTGCTGAACAAATATTAGATGCGAGTGGTGATTCAGTGGTCCTGAGCCAGGCTAGACGCATTTAACGTAGCTTAGCATAAGACTTAAAACAGGGGGAAACAGCAATCCAGGCTGGAGCTGCCATTTAGTTAGTTGTATGAGAAATAACACATACAGTGTATAACACCCAGTAAAACCCCAGTGTCTCATTTTCATTTCTGTTTGTCAGGTAAACGTGATCATTAGTGAGCTTTGGTGGCACTGGTATGCAGATTTCTGAAGTTTAGAGAGCCAGGCTAGCTGTTTCCCATTGGTTCCAGGCTGTATGCTAAGCTACCCTTATCAGCACTTGGCTCTAGTCACGTTCACAGGCATTAGATTGACTCAACCTGCCCAGCCAATCTTTTAATTCACAGTTAAAGGCAGAATAAAGCCAGGAGAACACCAAGATGGCTTTCCTACCTTGACAGCGGCATCGGTACAAAACACTCCACTCCCTTGTGCATCCACACTGGACAACTTTGTGAAATTAATTTGGTTTGGTCTGGTTGTTTGTGATTTTTTTTTTTTGCTTTAAATGTCAGAATTGATTGCTTCTGTATTACCCTGGCAAGACAACAGAAGTTGTGTTCTGCTGGTTGATCTCAGTAATTGTCAGAACTTTTATTTAAAAAAAAATGTTGGCCCACAGTAAGACGCTGTTTGATTGCTTCATTTGTCTCTGCCAAACCCCTGTGTCTTCTCCCTCCTTCTCTTTCCTTCATTCCCCATTTCTCTGTCTCAATCCATTCCCTCGCTCTCTTTATCTACTACCTCGACCCTCAACCTTTGTCCATAAAAATCTCTCTAATCTTCTCTCTCTCATCTCCTTAACTCTTGGATTCTCAATACTCAACACTACAACGTTTGTCTCACTTCCAGTTCCACATTGCACACACACACACACACACACACACACACACACACACACACACACACACACACACACACACACACACACACACACACACACACACACACAACGTACATTAGCCTAGCTGTTTAAATGCTGTTTGTACAGCTCAATTCAGTTCACAGTGGGCAAGCTGGGAGCAGCTTCACAGCCAATTCTCTAAATACCCCTACTGTGTGTGTGCATGTGTGTGTGTATGACTGTTTGCTAATGGGAATATGGCAGTGGGTTAACTTTGTCAGCAAGCCTCTTCATTTGGGCTATAATGACGCCAATAGAGAGACAGATAGTAAGACAAAGAGAGAGTGAAGGACAGATACAGGCAGAGTGTGTTGCTGTCATTGTGCTTTTCAGTGTGGATCTTTTGCTCAGATGGGAGTGAGAGAGCATCTGAAATACTAGAGAAAGGAGAGGGAGTGATGCCAATGATTTCCTGAGGCCTGACTGTGAAGCTTTTATTCATACTTCCAACACACACACACACACACACACACACACACACACACACACACACACACACACACACACACACACACACAGACAAGAGTGCACAAACATGTAAACAAACTCACACCAGGCGATTTCTCACCTCCCTTGTTAGAATTAATCACTGAATTATTAAATGTGCCCCCGCCTTTTAATTATATTATGATATTGGGGGTAAATCTGATTGAAAACAACTAATTGCCTCCTTGAAAATCCCATGGTTAAGTCTGAATACATTTCCCATTGAGTGCACGCACACACACACACATGCACACACATGCATCTGATAGGTCTCAGTCTTGGCAGTAAGCCCTGCCTCTGTGTTCCTTGACAAACCAGGGGCATAATGGATCCCACGTAACAACAGCGCACACACACACACAGGGGAAAACACACAAGTGAGGAGGCATAATTGAGATGTTTCAACATGAGACAGAGGGAATCAGTGTGTGGCGGCACATATACAAATCCAGACAAACAAAGAAACACACACACAAACACACGAATACACAAAATAAAGCTATATTAGCCCAACCATTAGTCTCCTCAATGAAAAGAGGGAAGCTTAATTTGAAAAGGCTTTTAGTGATTATAACCGCGGTTAAATGTCCAGTGGGTTGCAT